ATCATCCTCCTGCCTCCTCCTCCTCCTCCTCCTCCTCCTCCTCCTCCTCCTCCTCCCCTCCCCCTCTCACCCCCTCTGCCTCGAACCCCCCTTTGCCCGGCGGACCTCCGTGCCTTCGAGGCGCGTCGTGAACTCCTCGAGGCGCGCGCCCATGTCGGCGATGAGCTCAGCACCGCGCGCCCGAGGCGGGGCTCTGCGGAAAGGAGGAGAGGCGCAGAGGGAGGATGAGGCGAGAGGACAGGGAGAGGGGGTGGAGGGCCTTTGTTGTCACGCAAAGAACAATATCAACGCGGAGTTAGCTCGCGCGCGTGTCGTCCGCATCACGAGCCAAGTGGAAACTGATCGCGAAGTAACTCCGCAGCCCCAATCGAAAGAGGTGAAGGTCGATGCTGCACTATAAAGCGCTGTGCAGCTCATGCCGAAGCAGCGACCCAAGAGCACTGTCGCAGCTGCCCAAGCCCATCTTTCCCGCCCTGTCCTCTCCCTCCGCCTCCCTCCTCCGCCTCCACCCCCGCCTACGTCCTCGTAGCCCTCCCCTTCCTCCCCCAGCATAGCGCTCAAGCACAGTGGCTCGAGCGCATCATTTTGTTTCGGCCTAGAGCCAAGGCCTCTCACTTGAGCGAAGTGCTTGAGTGGTAGCGGGTTTCTCACACCCTGGTTATGTGATGAGTCCAGCTGAGGGAAGTTCGCCCTGTGAGCCACGCCTTGCCCGTGGTCGACATGCAGAGCCTGCAACACGTGCGAGTATACAGTATAATGACGTGCTCACCAATGCACGTAGGAAGTGCTGCGAGTGCAAGAGACCAGCGAAGCTGCACAAGGCTCGAAAAGACAAGGATGACCAGCCGCAGCCCAAGGTCGAGAGCGCCATGCAGGCACGTCCCACGGTCTCGAGCTTGCCGGCGCAGGCCGTCGAGATGGTGAAGGATCCCTGGGTGAGGAAGGGCTTACAGCAGCAGGTGCAGCAGGCGGAACAGACGGTCAGGGAGCTTGTATCAGCTGCGTCGGTGCCGCCCGCTGAGGCGGTGAGGAGGGCGGAAGGATGCCCGGAATAACGCCTCCCTCCGCTACGAGCAGGCGGCGAGTCGCGCGAGGCGGTGCCACGAGAACCTGGAGCGCGCCCTCGCCAACGAGGCGGAGACGCTGCGGGCGCTCGCGACCACGGAGGCCAGCCAGAGGACGGCATCCAAGGCGTCGGCGCAGGAGCTCGGGATCAACGCGGGCGACGGCGGCAAAGGGGGCAGCCAGGCCCAGGCGGAGGTGGTCGACCTCGCCTGGGACACCGACTTCTTCGCGAAGTTGGACGAGGTGGAGTGCGACCAGTCGGAGAAGGAGGCGCTCCGCAAGTTCGAGTCCGACCTCATCTCCACCAAGAGCCACATGGCGGCGAAGTCGGCCGACATCGCGATGTGGAAGCACAGGGCCGGCGAGCTCAAGAAGGTCATCGAGGTGCGGACGGTGGAGAAGCGCAAGGCCGTCGACGACCTCGGTCAGGGCGGCACTGGCGGCGGCGCGGAGACGGCGGCGGCTTCGGGCGCGGCCTCGGCGCAGCAGGCGGCGCAGCCAAGGCCCTCCGAAGGCAACGTCCAGGCGGAGGCGGAGCGCATCAGGCAGGCCCGCGCCGCTGGCGAGGCGGCGGGGGCGGCCGATGGCGCCCCCTCCGCGGGCGCAGGCGGCGCCGCTGCCAAGGGCAAGTGGTCGCCCGCTCCCACCGAGGTGGCAGGAAGCGCGCCAGCGGCGCCGCGGGGGCTCGGGGTGCTGTTGCTGGCGCTGTGCCGCGCGGGGTAGACAGTTCAGCCGAGGCCGCCCAGGTCTCGGATGTGTCCACTAGGCTCTTCAGCAAGATCACGCGCTTGGGCGCCAAGTCGCCACGCCGGGTGCAAATCGTTCTTTGGTCAGTGCGACTTCGTCGGAGTGGTCGAGGCCCGCGCGGGGTGTCACTCTCGTTCGCAGTGGGCGAGGAAGTCTCTATCGATGAAGTGGGAATACCTGGGCAACGCAGCTCGGGGTGCTGGCAACGGGCCCACGGCAGCGGGATCGCCAAGGCCATCGAACGAGGAGAGCTCCTTCTCGCGCTAGGCCACCGCTGTGCCCACAGGCGGTTCGGCAAGACCTCTGAGAGCTCTGCCGTCTGCGCCGACGGGCCAGACTCATTCGATGGGTTTGTGCCCGCTGTCGCACGTATGCAAGGCTTCGGTTTTCTCATCATTATTTTTTTACGCGCGCCCCTCGCTTGGCTTCTCCTGGGGCCAACGCCCAGGTGTGCTCGTCTCGGTGCCCTTTGCTGACTGCCCAATTGCCGTGGGTCGTTCCTGATGACTTCAATCGCGATGTTGCGCTGTTTCGTCGTTCTGAATGTGCGAAAAGTGGGGGGCAACATCCGTCAAGCCGATATTGAATGCATATGCGTCGGGGAGTGAAGGTAGCTCGCGCATCGATATCCCGGTGGCATCTGAAAGCGCCCTTCCATACATCCGCAGCTTGACAGCCAGAACAGGCGTTCCTTGGAGCCCGCGCTGTGCCCTCGAGCTTCGACTGCGCGGTGTAGGCGAGCAGTTGCTCTCTCGCCCCCCCCTCGCTGCCCCGTGTCTTCCCTGGGCCCCACGGCCGCCGACCTGTCCCGCATAGGGGTCTAGGGCATGAGGGGCTCGGGCACAGCGGCAGGAGCGAGCCGCCGTTGCTGAGAGGCGTGTTCGCAAGGACTGGACTGGAATGGTATGGAACGGAATTGCTTAGGGCCCCCCAGGATGGTGTGACAAGGCAGACTGACTAAACTGAGCAGTCTGAGGATTCGTCCTCACACGAAGCCCATCCACTGTCGGAACTGGTAGTCCTTCGTGCTGCCTGGCCCCCTAACTCGATGACCCAATTGAGGTCAGAATCAAGCAAGCTGTAGCATCTAAACCCAAGCTGCTTCTGCTGATCGGCCGCCTGCGGGGTTGTCGTCGGGGTGGCCACCTTCGGTTCCCTCGCCGCCTGCCCTTGGCCCTCTGGGACCGCCAAGGGTTGTTCCCGCAACGGTCGTAATCGGAATCCTTCGCCCCGCGGGATTCCCTCTGGGGAGGGCAAATGCAGCGTCGGCCGACCGGCGCGGCGACGCGGGAAACGGCCGCCAAACAACAGGCACAACTGGCCCCGGTACTTCGCGCCAGCCTGGGGACCCCTAGAGTTGTCACTCATCTTGGCGCTGGGCGCCCCGCCGGAGAAATGCCCGCCACGGCGGAAACCAAGTATGATATAATCATCGGGTCTTTCCCGAAATTGCGGGCGCGGCAAATGATGGCCCCCTATCTTGCATGCTACCCCGCAGTAGCGGCTCCAATAATGATCCCATGTTAATTCGAGCTCACAGGCGCCCTCTGGAATCATGCCCCGCGGCAGGCGCTGGCCGAGAGCGAGGGCCTCCTCCACGCCTTCGCCCTCCTCCTCCTGGGTCACGGGCGGGGGCGCCTGTCCCGAGGCCGCTGCGCCAGCGCTACGAGCAGCGCCAGGGCCATGCAAAACGTCGTCGCAGTCCCGGCAACGGCCCCCTCCAAGCACGCTCTGGAGCATCCCGAACCACCGGGCGATCTCGCGGCCCAGCTCTTCGAAGCCCCGCCAGAGGAGCCTCGTCAGCTTCGCCCGCGCCACTGTGGAGATGAGCTCCATCTTTGGCCAACCTGTCCACTGCGTTGTTTGCCGCCCGCTCCAAGTGGGCGGGGCGCCCGGCCTCCACGTCTGCGGACGCGGCGTGTCCGAGCGCCTCGTGCACCACCAGATCCGTTCCATCAAATTGCCCGCTGATGCGCCCCCGCAGGCGCGGCCTCTGGCCATGGGCATTTGCGCCGCTCCCAGGCCCAGCCTTGAGGGTCGAGATGGCGCCGCCGCAGTCGACGCACGAGTCGAGCTCGCCTGGTGCGGCATGGTCACGCAGCATGGAGACTGCAAAATCTTCGCCGTCACGGGAGGTCTGCCGCGGACCCGCCCAGAGCGGAACAGGCCCATAGGCCGCCGCTTCCACGCGCCCAAAACAGTCAACCTGAGCGATCGCTCATCCAGCACGGGCCAACTCAGGGATCTCCACGTGGACGGCGCTCCCACCTCAAAACAAGGTGCCGCGCAGCAAGCCGCCAGCTGGCTTGTTCACCCACTTGGCCACCTCGACGGGCTCCACGCGGGGGAAGAAACAGGCCAGCTCCTTCCGAACTCCAGTCACGCACCCGGGTGGCGCGACAGCGATGACGAGCCCCGACGCGGTCTCGTCGAAGCGCCTGGTGCGCCGGGCAAACGCGGTGCCGTTGCGTGCCCAGGGCGACTCCGCATCGCCCGCGCAATCCATCACGCGCGAGTCCGTGCTTGAGCAGACGCGCCTGGCACCAGACTGCGTTGCTGAAGCCTGCTCGCAGGGCGCGTTAATGCCAGAGACTCCAACCAGCGCTCGGGCGTCGAAGGAGCGGTGCGAGGCCACTCCAACGCACTGGCAGCGCACCAGGGTGCGCATCGCCGCCAGCGTCGCCGTGTCCATGCGCCACTGCAGGATCAACCCCTCTACGGCTTGGGGCCATGCGGTCAGATGCCGGCACTGCCGCGGCCTCGACTAGCATCTGGAGCTGGAGCGGGGGGCCCGCAAGATGTCGCAACGCCCCCCGCGTTCATGGCGAGGCGCGCGCTGTCCTCCATGACCCAGTCGACGCGGGCCAACGTAAGTACTGGTACATCGGCAGGGGAAGTAGCTGTCCGCCACGGGCTCCGCGGCGCCGCGGCCACCTTGCAGGCCGCGGCCAGCGCGACCTCTAAGATGCGCGGCTTCGCGCTGCCAGTCCACGCGGACTCGCGCCAGAGTCGGGGCACATCGCGCGCGTGGATAACAATCGGATCGAGGCGGGCCCCGCTGCTGCACTGATGGAAGCGGAGGCCGACGCAAGCTCCGCGCGGCAGCCTGCCCACGCTGCCTGCTGCACCCACCCGCGCGCCATGCAGCTGCTGGGCGGTGAGCCCAATCACTGCGCCCCCCGAGGTAGCCCCTGCCCTGTGCATCATGGCAACGTCGGCGCCCGCTTGTCGGAGGAGTGCGCATCGCTGACCGCGCTGGCGAGCCGCCGCCTGCCGCTGGCGAGTCCTTGCAACGCGGCGGAGGGAACCCATGGTGATGTCACCGCCGAGGCTCCGAGCCGTATCTGTCCCTG